TAAACAGTAACTGTGCATTAAAATGTGCCAAACTGTTTGACCAGGGCCACCAACTTTTGTGTACAACTGCGCATCCACCTATTCATCCTCCAGCAGTTTAACCTGGCCATTCACGCTGGAGTTATAAGGAGTGTGTCAGCGCAGACTACACTTGAAAGAGGCACACAATACAAGACAGCCAATCAGAACAGAGATCATTTACATGTATCAGTCTTAAAGGCCCTATAACAAAAACAGTCTGGCATATAGAGAGGATGTCATGTGAAAATGAATTATGACTGTTTTTCATATATAAAACTATGTAAGTCTTATAAGAATAAAGTAGGATATAGCCCAGTAAAGCACATGCAAAATTTAGAGTGTAGAAGAGATGAATACTATTCTTCACAGTTATTTACATATTAAACTGAAAAAAAGAAGATAGTCATCTAAAATAATATTGGAATAACTTTGTTTAGTAAAATGAAAATATAGTATTATCAGAAAGCTAAAAATCCATCCCCCACTGTCAAAATTCATACTTGCGTTTGCACACCAGAGGTCAGTGTTGTCTACTTAAAATATCAAAGGTTTGGCAGCACTTTTGAACAATTTTGGCCCAAATATTATATTTCACAAGTGAAAAAATGCATTTTAGTCGAGTCTTTGGTTAAATCATTCCACAGGAATTCTACATTTTGTAAAATGTCAAAAGTACGACTGAATGTAAACATTCTAAAGCCTTAGAAAAAGATTTAGGCTTGATGCTGTTAGAAAAATTCAGTCATTTGTATGTGTATTTAGGTTTAACTATGAAAAGGGCACTGGGTTTTTCATTGTTTTCCCATGAATGACAAACACAGAGAAAACAAAAGTACTGTCTGACAGGAAAAGGAAAAACGCACTTCAGAAATGTAATAAACCTTGGACAGTGTGCCCTGCTGCCGGGAAAACAGAAGGGACAGGACATTTTTTGTTGATAACAACGCATACACACCCCTGTTTTTAGAGCAGCTAAAGATAGTACAAAAACAGATTTGATGTAGGGCGCTTTGGAAAATGTGTAATGTTTAAAGCTGAAATGTTATTAGCAATTTAAATCTTGATTAACTGATATACAGTGGTGGGTAGAGTAAATTATGTTAAAGTAAAAGTATTGATACTTGGGTAAAATAATGTAAAAGTAAAAGTACCTTCCCAAAAAACAACTTGAGTAGAATTACAAAAGCATTAGCTCAAAACAACTACTTAAGTACTGAGTTATTACAGAACTGCAGTGGAACTTATTATTAAATCCAGCATCAGTCAGCACAGGAACTGGAGTTTGTATAAGTCTCTTTTCTGTTCTTCTCTTTTTGTGATTATTTTGGTCTAAAGGAAAAGACTAATGCTCCAAAGTCAGAGGTGTGACCAATCACAAAATACAGATTTTGTCACCAACAAAACAGAATGAAACTAAAAGCGGAGTACTAATTAAACATGAATGGCTAAAATGTAACTGAGTAAAAACTAAATTCCTTTGCTCACTAATATACTTGAGTAGAAGTAAATGTGTTTTGATTTTGAACACTCATCATAGAATAAATCAATATTATCAATATTTTGCTTAAGTATATGTACTTAAGTGCCATATTTAAGTTTCTACCCACCTCTGCCTATATCAGTTTGATTTGAAAAGGACGTTCCCATTAACATGTTTATTCTCATGTTATATGCATTCTTTGAAGAAGACAAAAATATGGTTATAAAAGAAATATGCTCTCTTAAAAAAGATGGTTCTTTAAGGGTTCTTTAGCAAAGGGAATAATTCTTTTTAGAACCATGAATTCTAATGGTTCTTTGCATGGTGAAATAGTTCTTCAGGCTGATGGAGAATGTGTTGTATAAGGTTCTATATACCTTTATATACATTTATATACCTTATAACCTTTTTTGAAAATGGGTCTACATAGCACCAAAAAGGGTTCTTCTATTGTTACAAGCTTGACATCATGACAGCAGCAGAACCTTTTTAGGGTTATATACAGCCATTTTCAAAAAGGTTCTATATAGACCCATTTACAGCACATTCTCCAACTATTTCACCATGCAAAGAACCATTAAAGCCTGAAATGGTTCCACATAGAACTCATGGTTCCAAACAGAACCATTCCCTTTATTAAAGATCCCTTGAAATCTTGAGAGTGTGGGCTTAGGGGGAGGCTGCTTTCAGAATGCACTGCATAACAGATTACTGACTGAAACTGTAATGTAACTTAAAACATCACACAAATATTGGATATATTTCACCCTGTCAGTGACATTTATTTTGCTATTCTTCATTTTTGTTTGTTTATATTTTTACTCGCATAGAACACGTTCCTGTTCATAGCATGTTTTGCCTCTAAATCTGAAAGCAATCACATTATAACTCTTTGTAACTTGATTATCTCTTGAATTTTGGGACTGTAATGGATTAATGTGGCTTATTCATTTGTATTTTAAAAGAATAATCCCATTACATTTATGCCCAAGCCTGACCACCCTGGTCATAGTGTCATCAATATGTGCAATAATCACAATCAGGTTACAAAATGCCACTGTATGACAAACAATATTTCAGCGCACTTCAAACAAAGTGTCAGAGCAGAGAAGTGAGTAATAATAATGAATGAATAGAGACAAAGAGCTGAGAGCTCACATGATCTCTCTGAATGAAAATGTCAGTGTAGGAGAGGACAACACAAGCTTTTCACGCAGGCTGAGCGTGACTGCTCTGGAGTTTTCCCACAAAAGCAGTGGGCAGTGTAGGGTCAGAAGAATTTACACTGAGCTGAATGCTCTAATGCCGCCTGTGCTACAATGGATATTACAATAACCTCCTCCACTCTGTCAGCCAGCAGTGACTCAGCTTGGATTAATTTGCCAGTTTGTGACGAAGGATGCTAACTAAGTACCGTAACAGCTGCTGTACAGAAAAAAATAATACATGCCAGCCTGATGCGAAAGTCAGCTGTAGGTTGTGTAGCTTTGTGTAGCTGACTGATACTCTGCATGTGTATGAATGGGGAAATTGTATTAATGACGCAAACTCTGTTTCATAGCTAAGCTGCAATGAGTGCACTAAATGCTAAGTGTGTGTTTGAGCTCTGCATATGAATGTGTTTCCTTCTATTGTTTCTCTGCTCAAGGAAGTCACATTTAATGCTTGCACAGCATAAACTGGCTCTTACCGTAGAGTGCGCTTCACACTGCGTGACTTAAAAGAATCAGCAACGGTGAGTGAATCTATAGACCCCTCAAATGGCCTTCCAGGCAAAAATTTTTTAATGTAACCTGTAAACATAAAATGTCACATAAAACTCACACAATGTTGTTCCACATGCTTTCATACAGACAGACAGGCCTGCTGGAACACAGAACAGTTGTTGTATACATGTTGTTAATTTCATTATTTACACTGGGGTACTGCTATGTGATTGTTCATAACTCTTTCTTTAACTTTCTCTTTAAGACTATGTTTACTTGTACTTCAGTTGTTATTTCATCAAAATAGCAATACTTCTACATGGGGATGGGTTTTGGCTACTCTCTCTGGTAAGCAGGATTGGAAGGGCATGCTATAGGCCTCCCAACAGCCTTTTCCAGTGTTAATGCTGAATGCTGCCAGTTACCAGCTTCCAGTGTGAAAATATAGCATGTCTAGCCATTCAGTGTGCATGTCAAGGCCAGAAGGAGACAGTTGTAGTATGCATGTAACATTTAATACGTACTGCAAATCAGATCAGATCCTGGATTGGGGCTAATCTTCTCTTCAGTTCTTCTGCTCTCTGTCCTATTCCGCTTTGGTCCCTTTTCATTAAAAATTTCACATTGTTTTTCTTTAAAAAAAACCTTTACAGAAAAGTCACATGCATTTTACGTGATCATATGTGCAGTGTCTAAAAAAAAGTAAATGTGTATAAATAGATCATTTGTATTGATGACACAAACTCTGTAATGTGCGATCACATGATACAAGTGAATATGTTTACATGCCACGTAATGTGAATAATATACAATGTGAGCTGTTTTACACCTGAAATCACGTGTATTGTATGTGTAAACTGTAAATGGATGAATCATGATGAAATGAGAAATAAAAACGTGTGTCACGTGTGAGAACGCCACAAGTGGAAGAAAGTGTGAAAAATAGTGTGTGAAGTGTCTAAGACATGATTATTCACAAGTGGAAGTTTTGTGATTTTTCTGCAACAGTCATAAAATATAAACGCCTATGTTCGTCTCAGAAAAGGGTCAAAGTAAAACAAAGGCTGTGAAATGTTAGAGACGACAATAACTGGGATAAGCACCAAGTTGAACACTTCATTACTCTGCTGAAAAAAAAAAAACACAGAAACCATTAAAAGTTCCTCTTGGTTCCTGGTGGTGTCCAATAGCCACTAATGGTATTTTGAGTTTTCTGATGAGTTTATATCACAGTGTAAAGGACTGTAATGGTTTAACAGGTGTGCGGGGACTGATACCGGATCCATTTGATGGTTTCCTAATGGGATCTAAAGAGGTCCTACAGCTGGGTTTCTCAGCCCAGGGTCCTGGAGGCCCACTGCCCTGCACATTTTAGTGCTTTTCTTGCTTTAACACACCCACCTTAACTCAATAATGGGCTGTTAATGAGCTGATCAGTTGGATCAGGTGTGTTGTGAGCAGGGAGAACACTAAAAGTGCAGGGCAGTGGGCCTCCAGTACCAGGGCTGAGAAACACTGTCCTACAGGAAACTGTTACTTAATGGTAACTATTAAGCCACGTCCCTGAGAAAGCTAAACCATCAGGTTTTAAACCTCGTGGTTCTAATGGTCTTTTTCAGCAGGGTAGACACTGACAGAACTAACTGTGTTAGAAATACATAGACGTTGTTGCTTACGTGAGTACTGAGTGAAATCGTGCTTGTAGGGAAAAGCAGGATTTTTTGTCAGGCATGTGTAAGACAGCCTCACTGCAGGCCCGTGTGTGTGTGTGTGTGTGTGTGTGTGTGTGAGAGAGAGAGAGAGAGAGAGATAGAGAGAGAGTCTGGAGGGCGGTGTTGATGTCAGCATGGTGGGAGCAGGGATCAGCCCGCTGGAGCCTCCAGAGGAGGGAGATGACAGCTGAGCCCAGCGCTGTACATGCTCATCTGCTCGTCTACTGTGTGGAGACGCAGTATAGGCTACACCACCTCTAACGCTGAGCTGGTAGACCTCCAGTAGAAGAAGTACGATATTAATGGCAGTGAGCCGCGGGCGACCGAGCAGCGAGTGGACGGAGAACGTTTACCCACCGCTCTTCCCCGGCTAGCGGCTCCAGCAGAGCAGCGAGAGGCTACAGCGAGGACTTTAGTTAGCAGTCAGGTAGGTTCTGCGACATTCAGTAACGTCACGATTTTCTCTCATTATCTACTCTGTTTAACATTGTCGTGGATATCTTAGGCGATGTCTTAACTGGCAAGAACGGTACATTTACTTTGAGCCAGCTTGCGGTTCTGTGACGGAGCCAGACCGTTAACAACATCGGCTGTTTGCCAGTCAGGGTTGTGTTTGCATACGTGTGATGTTGGTCCTCAGATAAGTTAGCTTAATGCTGGTGTTCAGCTATTCTTTCACTAATCTGTGGTTGATAAGAGCCTGGCTGCTTCTACGGTGTTTTATTTCTCTTCAAATATTTGCTATTAGTACAAGAATCAGGCTTTAATGACCAAGTATGTTTGCAAATGCAGGGAATTTGTCATCGGTTATAGTAGCGCTGGGCGATAAATCGGTTACAGCAGTATACCGTGATGCTGACACCGTGAAACTGCTTCTCACGTTTAACGATATTTTAAGGGAATTCATTTAATAGAAAACTAACACTCTGTTCGTGACTTAATGTCCATAAATATGAGTGTTTCTGTCACAATATTTTACATACATGCTTGTGAATGTACGATTGCAAAAGCCAAAGCTCATGAGCAGCCCCTCACAAGCTCAGGAATTTCCCGATTTCCAAAGCTACGCCATGTGCATGTCAATTAGAAGGTGGTTTCATGATGTGACTGGAGAGAGAATGCCCCGTTTTGGCGCAGACTCGCTCCTCCTCAGCTGTGAAACCAACCCCAAAACATAGCTGAATGAAGAATGAGCACTGTGGTCTGGTCTAGGGATTGATGAAGGCTGTCAAGAACACTGTTTTATTAGACGTTAGACTGGGGGTGCATGTCAGCAGTCTGATCTCAGTGCCTCTCACCTGTCGCATGGCAGTTGTTGACAACTGTCTTGCCTCCTGATGCCTTTGCAAAGAGAGTGATGACTTGCTGTGGCTGTTGGACATGTGCAGTTTGCACTTTCCTAGTCACAGTGCACCCCCAGCAGGGCTGAATAAGCTCCTTAAGGCATGGATTATTGTAACGCTGGCGCTTTCATCAGAGGATTGACTCTTGTCTTATGGTTGTCAAATTAAATAAAAGGTAAACATTATTTATCACTTTATTTAACCACATGTGGTTAAATATATGGTTATACCATACATTACTGGGCCTAAGACTCAATAGGTGTTTCTTTGAGAAGGTAGGCTAAATTTCTACGTTTTAAAAAGGTCATCAGACTAAGCGCTTTCAGATATTGGTTTGTCTTCCTCTTACTGCTCATGACTAATTCTGGTAAGTTCAGTTTGTTATTGATGCCTTAAAAGAACAGTGGCTGTTCTTCTTATCTTAGTGTTGCACTTTGCAGAGGGTCAGCAAGGCAGCTGATTGTACATCATCAGTGTGCGGCATTCACTTGAGAAGCAAAGTGAGACTTGATACTGAATTATTGATCAAAGTAGCAGAAGTTTACTGCTCCGTGTTTGACAGTCCCATAGCTGTGTTACTGTTAGGAGAAGTAGCCCTTGGCCTGCTTTTGGAACACATGTGATGCAGTAAACTTTTTTCTAACTGAGTTTGCCATTAGTTTTATCTTAATGTTGTCTTGTTTTTTGACCTGATGACCTTTTGTGGCGTATTTTGCATATGCTCTAAAGTACACATTAAGTAAATGTATTTAAATATTTGTTTCTAACCTTTAGCAGGTTTCTGAGAGTAAAGACTTGGAAACATTCCTTGCATTTTTCCTCCAGCCTATTACCTAGCACAGTTGAAATAGTTTGGGAAAAAACTTTTTTCAGAGTCTGTAGGGAAATGGTGTTTTTTTGTGTGTATGCCAGAGATATTGTCACTCTTACTCAACTGTAGTGTTAGTACAAGTGAGCCAGCTGGTGCATGGGCTGACTTGTGGGTCTCGCATTACTTTCATTTTGTGTACGACATATGGCTTTGGTGTGTAAGACAATTCAACAGCTGATGGACTGTGTTTGCCTATACAGCCTGGACTGTCAGGTTTAGAATCATCAGCATTTTTATTAGTACCACTTTGTTCTTTCTAGCTCGCTCTGAAGCCAGAGTAGCCTATTGACTGGTGCCCTTGGCCACAACATTTTACCTTTTGGCCACTACGAATGTGGCTCAAGTGGCCCCTTGCCATGTGTTTTGACATTCTTTTTTCTGTTTAACAAACCTATTTGGTCAGACGCTGAACTAATCAGCTAAAATCAGATTTAGTCAAAATTCATAAAGCGTAACCACCGCGATAGTTAACATGACGGTGTGGTCCCCTCTCTGAGATGATCCACTTGGCGTAAGATGCTGTTCCATTGGCTAAGGTGCTGATATCCATGAAGTAAAGTCTTAAATGAAACAAGATCTTAAATAAGCTGGCATTATACAGAGAAGCTATCACTGCAATAACTAAACAGTTCCTAATGAAATAACCAACATTAAATGACATGAGGGAGGACCAGCTTGGCAGGGGGGGCCACTGTATTTTTATCAATGTAAAGTTTTTTAATAACTATGTGACTTCAACTAAGACCTGACTTGTTTTGATATTGAAGCATGCTTGTTAACTAAATACATTGTACACATAGATGTTTATACTTTTGTTATTCTGTATTTTTGGCCACATGCTTCATTGGCTTGTACTGGCTAGTGCAGTTTCTTTTTAGATCTGTCGACTCATGCTCTGGAGTGACTGATGGTTTGTCAGCTCTATAGATTGTAAGAGACAGATACTGCAGAACCGTGAACCATCTGACCTGTCTTGTGGTTGCCTTCCCTCCAAGCTTTCTGCCTCTAGCCAAGTCAAATGAGCAAGAACAAGTGGCAGTAAATGACTCTGAAATGGATGTGGTATTTGGAGAACTAGTGTCACTACACTGCTCTGTGGTTTTGTCAGGGAAGAGAGTTATGGCCTGCTGTGGAAGGACCTCTTTTGTGGTAGCCTGATTGCTGAGCTTTTGATCAAACTGGTTGTATTCACGGCTCTTCTTGACTGGAAGCTTCATTAGAGCGAATGTAAATGCCATATCACCTGCAGAGTCAGTGCCTTCATCTAGCTCATCAGTGCCCTCATAAATAACACGACGAAATGTCTATTCCAGATGTTTAGAACTGAGATTTTACCAAGGAAAAAAGGTTGGAATTTCGAACATCTTAACAAGGCACTCTGGCATAAAAGTAAAATTTAATATGTTATTTGTTATATTATGTAATATTTTGTTCAGCATTGTACATCTCTTACTACAGTACCCAACATGCATTGCACATGTACATCATATAACCATTTGGTCATCTATCATGCTCATCCAGGGGTGAGAAATGTGGCAAAAATACAGTACCATGATATGTGCCATAAAGTGCTTTCAGAATTTACTCTCATCTTCAAGATATGTCATAAGAAGGGGGCACGCAGTATTCACACTAGGAAACCTCGCTCTAGAAGCTACAGGGTCACTGCTGTAAGAGGCGAGTAGGCATGTTAACACAAATCTGTATTAAGGTGATTTTCATTAGTTATAATGTATTACTATATTTATGTGTTAATAATTATCATTGTATTAAGATACACCTCATCAGTGCCCTAATTGTTCTTATCTTCCTCTAATTCTTTGGCTTTGTAAGGGTGCATTCGGACCCTGGTGGGATTGCTGTTAGTGTGGTGATAACACTGCCGTCCGAACTCTGGTGCCCAGTAAGCAGACTGAGATACCCTCAGCACATCGGTCTTGATTTGCTTCAAAATGAACTATGGTGCAGTTTGTTTGAAGTGCGAATGCAGTACAGACTAAAGACGTCTAAATGGACCAAAGACAGAAAGAACCATTGTTGCCTGATCTCTTCAGAACTTCTTTAGTACAGAGAAAAGACGAGTTTCTGTTTTGACATGTGCATGTGTCTTCATAAGCTCTGAGATGTTAATTATAGAACGGAAAGTTTCAGTTTTAAAACGAGGCTCAGGGAGGTTTGAAGCCACCCTAAAATGCTTGATATACACATTTGACTGTACACATATATTATGTGTTTAGACGCCAAGGCTTTCCCATTTGTAAAAGCAGTAAGCCTCTCGAGGGGATTTCACCCTGCATTGCATCACGCAAAACAATGGTAACACAGGGTGCCCTAATATCACAGGACAGATAAAACAAGACACAAATAGAACTGAGCCAGATAGAACAGAGAACAGCATTAATCAGAAAGTTTGGTGGACATCACAATTATTGTACGTCATAAAATCGGCCCAAGCAGTTGTGACCTGTTACTCACATAACTTTAATTTACACTTTTTCCTTTGGTCTGAACCAAGGGAACCGAACTACATGGATAAATGCACCCTAAGATTGGCTGTAATAAATCAGTAGCACTACACATGATTCTGAGAGTTATGTTACTCTGAATTTATACGCAGAGTAGGCCAGGCAGTCAGACAGGAAGCTGGTGATTATTTTTAAACACTGCTCATACCTCAGCATCCCCCTGCACTTACTAGTCAATGTTTGGTTGTTTTATTTTGCTGTTCTAGAACAGTCTTCAGAGAAAATGAGTCTTGTGTTGCATAACATTTGAGACAGATGGGAGACTTTCGTATTAATTGGTGGGCAGTAGTCCAGTACCCTCCTCAGAGGCTACTGCACATGCTTAAGTGTGTGCTGTGTACTGCTTAAGAGAGAAAGCAATGGAGAAATGTTGACACCTCAGTGGGTCTTCTCACACGGCCTCCCAAAACAGTCCCTGGAAACCATAGCAACCGTGTCTATCTGGGCAGTGTTCCTCCTCTTCCTCCTCCTCAGCTGAAATGTTTGCATTGGGGAAAATGCTCCACCCCTCCCTCTCCCTCGTGTGCTGTGGCTTTCCCTGAAAAAACTCCCCTCTTCACTGCCAAAGATCCAACTCCCATTACGCTTGTACATGATGTCAATGCAGAAACACAACATACTGCAGAGGAATGGTAGAATGTGGAGGTATAAGAGTTTAGAGTGACTAAGAAATATACATATTACAGTG